CCCTGTGAGGTGGTGGGGCCTGTATGCAAATTGCCCTGGGCGGAGGGCTCAGATCAACAGCTCCTGGGGACTCCCCAGTTGTGCTCCATCCCCAGTGACCCCTGTATTATAACCTACCAGGCACCAGTGCCCACAGCCATGGGCAGCACCAGCTGCAGCCCCTACCCGGACCTGACAGGAGGGCAGGTCAGATGTCCTGGATGGGCTGAGATGCCCAACAAGGCCAATGTGCCGATCGTAACAGACCAGCTCATAACAAGACACTCCAGGAAGTTTTTGAAGAGTGTTGGGGACAATTTCCTGGTGCAAGTGCTGAAGGAACCAACTAGGGGCCGTGCTCCTCTTGACCAGCTGCTCACAAACAGGGAAGAATTGGTAGGGGAAGTAGAAGTGGGTGGCAACCTGGGCAGCAGTGACCATGAGATGGTTGAGTTCAGGATCCTGATAAAAGGAAGAAAGGAGAGCAGCAGAATACAGACCCTGGGCTTCAGAAAAACAGACTTTGACTCCCTTAGGGAACTAATGTGCAGGATCCCCTGGGAAGCTAATACCAGGGGGCAAGGAGTCCAAGCTGTATTTTAAAGAAGCCTTTTTGAGGGCACAGGAACAAACCATCCCGATGTGCAGAAAGAATAGCAAATATGGCAGGCGACCAGCTTGGCTAAACAGTGAAATCTTCGGTGAGCTTAAACACAAACAGGAAGCTTTCAAGAAGTGGAAGCTTAGACAGATAACTAGAGAGGAGTATAAAAATATTGCTCGAGCATGCAGGGGTGTAATCAGGAAGGCCAAAGAACAGTTGGAGTTTCAGCGAGCAAGGGATGTGAAGGGTAAAAAGAAGGGTTTCTACAGGTATGTTAGCAACAAGAAGAAGGTCAGGGAAAGTGTGGGACCATTACTGAATGGGGGAGGCAACCTAGTGACAGATGATGTGGAAAAATCTGAAGTACTCCATGCTTTTTTTGCCACGGTCTTCACAGACAAGGTCAGCTCCCAAACTGCGGCATTGGGCAGCATAGTATGGAGAGGAGGTGAGCAGCCCTCAGTGGTGAAAGAACAGGTTAAGGACTATTTAGAAAAGCTGGACATGCACAAGTCCCTGGGTCCAGATCTAATCCATCCAAGGGTGCTGAGGGAGTTGGCTGATGTGATTGCAGAGCCATTGGCCATTATCTTTGAAAACTCATGGCGATTGGGGGAAGTCCCGGATGATTGGAAAAAGGCAAATATAGTGCCCAGCTTTAAAAAAGGGAAGAAGGAGAATCTGGGAAACTATAGACCGATCAGCCTCACTTCAGTCCCTGGCAAAATCATGGAGCAAGTCCTCAAGGATACCATTTTGAAGCATTTGGAAGAGAGGAAGATAATCAGGAACAGTCAACATGGATTCACCAAGGGCATGTCATGCCTGACCAACCCAATAGCCTTCTATGATGAGATAACTGGCTCTGTGGATATGGGGAAAGCGGTGGACATGATATACCTTGACTTTAGCAAAGTTTTTGATATGGTCTCCCACAGTATTCTTGCCAGCAAGTTAAAGAAGTATTTGGATGAATGGACTATACGGTGGATAGAAAGCTGGCTAGATCGTCGGGCTCAACAGATAGTGATCAATGGTTGGATGTCTAGTTGGCAGCCAGTATCAAGTGGAATGCCCCAGAGAAGGGTAAAGGTGGGGGGCCCTAGAGTGTGCAGGTAACAGCACAGATGGGCCTAGCGCAGGCAGAGGTGGGCATGGGGCCAGCACAGCTGGGCATGGCGCGGCAACATGTCCCATACACTATAAACATTTTCTCCTTGTTAATCTCTCAAATGCTCCCCAACAATCCTCCTCTCCAACCCCTTCCCCTCATCTCCAGCCAGCTCCTTCTCCTGGACCTCAACCGCCCCCCTGGCACTCCTCTGAGCCCGCCTGCTCAGACCCGAACCCTTGGAGCCCCCTCTGCTGACCAATCTAGTCCCTGGACCCCCAGGCCAAGGGGGTGCTCGAGCCCCCTGGAGCCTCCCAGAGGGACAGGGTGCTGGACTGCCCAGAACCCCACAGTGGGAGGGGGGTTTGGGTGCCTCCTAAAGCCCCCCAGGGAGGCTGGCGTCCATGCCATCACCCCCTGGGGAGTAGGGATGGTCCCTCACTCACCCCACTGGATGGGTTGGAGGCCGGTGATGTCTCCTTTTTCTCCTCCTCCTCGGCTTTGGCTTCTACCGTGGTCATCCTGAGCCTGGCGCTGCTGCCAACCAGTGCCCCAAACTCTGTGCTGACAGCTCCTCGATCCACAGCCACTTCTCACTCCCAACGTGAGTGTCCAGAGAGCCCTCCTCGGTGCCGTGCCCTGCCCCTGCCTGTGCTCACCACAACAGCCCCAGGTGCCCGTCGGCGTTAGCGATTTATAGAGAGCTCCTGCTCCCCTCCCCCGGACGGCCCGGTGCCACCCCCCGGCCTTCCCTCCCCCACAGTCTTGCTCTGCCCACCCGGATCCAAATCCATATTTTAATAAACAGGCATCCAATCTGCTCGTCCATCAGATCCCTGTAATCTGCATAAAGATTATCCCGGATAATTGTCTCAAAAAAGCCACCCGCGCGCTTCGTTAGCATACGTGAGTGCGCGCGGGGGTGGGGGAGACAGTGTGTGCGCGCGTGTGAGCCAGCTGCTGGGGTGGCTGGCCAGGGTCGGTGCCCCCAGACCAGAGGGGCACCAAACCCCCCGCCACGTCCAGAACTGGCACCAGCCTCCCGCTTTGCGCAGAACCAGCATGAGATCCCTCCCACTCTGACCCAGCCCACAACCAGCCCCACGCTCTGACCCAACTCAGGCCCCAGAACCAGCCCCACACTCTGACCCAGCCCCAGAACCAGCTCCACACCCTGACCCAGTGCAGATCCCAGCCCCACACTCTGACCCAGCCCAGGCCCCACAACCAGCCCCACACTCTGACCCAGCCCCACAACCAACCCCACACTCTGACCCAGCCCAGGCCCCAGAACCAGCCCCACACTCTGACCCAGCCCCACAACCAACCCCACACTCTGACCCAGCCCCACGCTCTGATCCAGCCCAGGCCCCAGAACCAGTCCCACACTCTGACCCAGCCCCACAACCAGCCCCACGCTCTGACCCAGCCCCACAACCAGCCCCACGCTCTGACCCAGCCCCACAACCAGCCCCACACCCTCACCCAATACAGACCCCAGCCCCACACTCTGACCCAGCCCCACAACCAGCCCCACACTCTGACCCAGCCCAGGCCCCAGAACCAGCCCCACACTCTGACCCAGCCCCAAAACCAGCCCCACACCTTGACCCAGCGCAGACACCAGCCCCACACTCTGACCCAGCCCAGGCCCCAGAACCAGCTCCACACTCTGACCCAGCCCCAAAACCAGCCCCACACCCTGACCCAGTACAGACCCCAGCCCCACACTCTGACTCAGCCCAGGCCCCACAACCAGCCCCAGACTCTGACCCAGCCCAAGCCCCAGAATCAGAACCAGCCCCACACTCTGACCCAGCCCCACAACCAGCCCCAGCCCTTCCAGAAGAAGACTAGCCTCTCCAGTCAGAACCAGCGCCCCTCCCCCATGCCGGTGTCAGGCCCCACACTCAGAACCAGCACCCCGGCTCTGCCCCAGCGCCAGACCCACCTCTTTGACCGGACACCGCAGTGGCTTCTTGGGAGAGTGAGGCACCATCGGACCCCTGCTGAGAACTAGCCCTGGGTTCCCCGCTTGGTTCCAATACCGGGTCCGAGAGCCGAGGGGACCGCGGTGGCACCAGGCCCCCCCCTGCTCGGAGCCAGCTGCTCCCAGCCCCTGGCCCGGCTCCGGACGAGCGGGGAAGCCTCTCTCCTCCCGTGGCACTCAGGGCACCCCCTACGCATCATGGCAGCCCCAGCCTGCCCCTGCCTCCCCCCCAGCTGGGGAGAACTGGCCATGCCTGGGGAGAGAGGCTGTGGGGGCTGCTGCCCTGGGGGGCCAGGGGAGCAACAGGGGAGGAGGGAAGAGGAGAGGAGTAGCCCATGACAGGGCAGGACAGCAGCCAGCAGCGTCAGAACCAAAACACTGCCCTACTCCCCGTCTGAAGGGGCAGGGGCTGATGGCTGGTATCCCCCAAAGGCCAGCCTGAGGCTACAAACAGCACCACTGAGAACACAGCTGGACCTCCACCCCTGCCCATGCATGCTCCATGCCACCCCAACCATGGCAGAGTGACATTGTCCTGTGAGAAGGGGAGTGGGGTCTCGTGGGGGTGGGCCTGGAAGCCAGGACTCCTGGATTCTAGCCCCAGCTCTGGAAGGGGAGTGGAGGGGGGGCTGGGTGTCAGGACTCCTGAGTTCTATTCCCAGCTTTGCTTCTTCAGACAAATCACTGATTCCAGAGCCTTTGGTCCCGAGTGTGTGAAAGGGGGAAGGGCTGCAGACGGGCATTGCGGGGGGCTGGATGGGGGTGGCATTGTGGGGGAGAATGGGGGCATTGTGGTGGGGGGGTGAAGGTCACAGGAGCGACTCTTCTAGGTGTTGGAGGACAGCGAGGGTGGGTGGGAGTCAGGAATGTGTGGGTGTTTCTCCTTCCTCCACCAGCCTGGCTGGGAATTGGGACCCACCTGGTTTGTTCTGGCCGTGGGGTTAGCTGGCAGCCGGGGTAGCAGCTGGAAATGAGTCCCCCTGAGGCCCTGGGATGTCAGGAGATTAACCCAGCTCAGAGTGGGGCCCTGGCACTATTTCACAGCAGGTCAGGGGTGGGGGGCTCCTGGGAATCCTGGCCTCCGAGAACAGGCCAGGAGCTGGGGGATGCTGGCTGTTTCCAAGGGAAATCCCCATATGGGGGGTGGGAGTGGGGAGGAGGCAGAGAGCTTTGTGGGGCAGAGGGACGGCTGCCCCAGCATGGTGCCCAGGAGCCCTGGGGGGGCACACACCCGGGACAGCTCTGAGCAGACTCACAACATGGGAGGGGCCCAGGGCGGGGTCACACCTTGAGGGAGTCTGGAGGGGGTCACACACCTGGGGAGGCGCCCGGATGGCGCTGGCTTTGGCATACCGGGCGCTGGCATCCTGGTCGTCCAGGAAGGTGGTGGGCAGGCTCTGGTAGCGCCGGCCTGGCAAGGCGAGGACACGGAGCGAGCACAGGAGTTGCCCACGAGGGCGCCGCAGCCCCCCTGGCCTGCTCCTCTTCAGCTGCTGGGGAGGGACACAGAGAACAGTGGGGTCAGGGGAGCAAGGTTGGGGGGGGGCTCCTGGGCATCGGGGCTGGGGAGCACAGTCCACTCCC